CTGAATAGCACGTTCTCGTGACTATGGGGCTTTCTCCATCTGCTGTTCATTATACTAGGGCGTTATAAAAAATGGATTCGCTTCTTTGCAGGGACTGCCGCAGAAGTGTATGAGCATAATGAGGTCACTCTACTCGCATACTTCTGGTAGCATAAGAGTTTACGGCAGATTGAGTAGGTCGCTCGAAACTACAAGTGTTCCTCAAGGGTGCCCTCTTACGCCATTTCAGTTGGATTTCGTCGTAGACGAAATGCTGGAGAACTCTGTAAGTGATCAGCAAAAGTTAGTGCTCGAAAGGCTATAACCGTGGTCAGCGCAGATTCGCAGGCGAGTCGAATTTGGCAGTTTTCTTAACACCGAGGTTATGCTGGCCTCCAAGGTGGGTTTTGTCAGCGTCTAACTTACCTATTTTCGCATTCGAGTCGCCAGCCAATACCAAAATGTCAGTTTGTCGTCTACCGAGTAGGTTGGTTAGCTGATGGTAGCACTCGTCGGGAATGTGATGAAACATTTGATATCACTAGTGAAGTTTGCAAATTGCGCCGAGCTCTTTCTCATAGCCCTATGCTGTGCTTCTCATGATATATGCCATCGTATTATTTTCTCGTTTTCTGTTCCCAAATTGCGCGTTCAACCTATCATTGTTTTGGTGACGTATCTGTAAAGGTTGGTGTATATAAATACATTAAGAAAGGCGCTAGACTGATTTTTGCACCGTTTCATGTGTGCGTTTCGTCGAAGCTTTTGACAACAACCCCTATCTTCAATCATGTGCCTGATTCTATGCTACAGGAACTCGCCAGTTTGAACAGCGCCAGTAACAAGCGCATTGTGCGAAACTTCACGGCGGACAGCTCAAATATTCGGTCATGGACGGGCTATCTAGTACCGGTACGTTGTACAGTCTCTGACTGTTTTCAGAATCCTGTTTTCAATAAGAATTATGTTGCCCAGGATTGCCTTTTATTCTACTCCAGTTGTGCAATGTTGTGTAGGTGGAAATGTGCAAGCGCCTCCTGACAGAAGTCACCGTCCTGAAAATGAGTGGTGTTTACACATACATACACACACACACACATATATATATATATATACAGTAAAAGGGGAAATCCCCATACACATAGTATACTGTTAAACGGAGAGTAGTGGAGCATTCAAGTAAGATCCAGTTTATTGATTCTGCGTTTAAGAAGTGTAAGGTTGTGCATTGGAGAAGGAAACAGAAATTGGGAGGGTGTTCCACATTTGGCAGTTCGGGGAAAAGAAAAGCAGAGAGAAGAAGCAGAGAAGTGTGACATATAGAAACTGAAATCTAATAAGAAGGACCAAATTCCTGTCTTGTCATTTCTTATCAAGTCAGAATGTTTGAAAAGGTATGTACGAACACTAAGATTATGTACTCTGTGTATTGGACATAGAGGTTATTTTTGTTTGTCTCCCTCCAAGTAGGCCCAATCCTTCTCCATCTTGTGCTTTATCACTTGATTTGTGTACATTGGCTCGCCTCACTGTATCTCGCTGTACGATGATGATGATGCTGATGCTGATGCTGATGCTGATGCTGATGCTGATGCTGATGATG